AGAGAGGAGGAAGCAGGCTCCCCGCTGAGCAGAGAGCCCGATGCGGGGCTCGATCCCGGGACCCTGGGATCACGACCTGAGCCGAAAGCAGAGGCTTTAACCCACTGAGCCACCCAGATGCCCCCCCAATAGTATCATATTTTAAATGCACTTGAAGACCTTAAGAAGCAAAGGACTCTGCCGTGAATTTTTCTATGAAGTGAAGATCCTTTGGTTATACAGTTGATAACCCTTAATCTATCTTTTGAGAGGTGATTAATCTGGATTTTCATATATTAGGCTTTTTTAAACAGACTGTCCTAGAGTTGTTCAACATGTAGCTTTAATCCTCCATTTGAACCAGATAAATTTGGAAACAACATAAAGAGTAGACACTTCAAGAGATAAATATATTTGAGTAGTGAAAAAAGCGTGAATCCTGGGTAAATATCTTATCCATTTTCCTAGTTCGGTAGGCGCCATATAGCGAATGCACTGCTGCTTCCCACACAAATTATTTTTACCAGTTATAGATCAGAAAGAATGTTTTTCTGATAACTCTTCTCTTAGGCTATGTCCTCACAGTCGGATTCATAAGTTTCGCAGTCTGTTACAAGTACGGACCCTTGGAGAATGAGCGGAGCATCAACCTGCTGACTTGGACCTTGCAGCTGATGGGCCTATTTTTCATGTATTCCGGTATCCAGATACCACATATTGCCCTTGCCATTATCATCATTGCACTGTGTACTAAGAACCTGGAGTACCCTATTCAGTGGCTGTTCATCACCTACAGGTGACCGAAACACAATATAACTTTGTATTGAAACACCCCGTGTGGGATGCAATTGCGGCAAAAGGGTACAGAGGCGTTGACCTGGGAACCTCTTTGTTCATGGAAATTGATCTTATTATGCTTCTGCTTTTGTTCCTTCCAAGTCTTTCTTTTTAGACTCTCTCAAGGCATTTTTCTCATTTTATTTTCGTCATTTTATCTAAAATAAAAGCGTCCAGTAAAGTGTCATGTGTTCCTTTTACCACTAGGTGGTGCAAAGCATAGCACTTTTATACCACATGCCTCTGGTCACCTGGTTCTGGATTATTTCACACTGGCTCTCAGATTGCTTTGAGAGTTCTAGTCTTAAGATGTAGTTCAAAGCGTGTTATCGTCTTGCACAGTGAACATGGAGTGGTCATAGATTCTGAGGTTGTCAGTGGTGGTTCTGTTATACGTAGTCAAGGTGATGCCATCAGTTTGGGGAATCTCAAGTTAATGGACCACAATCTTATACCATTTTCTTGTCATTTTTCCACTTTCCAAATATTTTGTCTATCATTTATAGGAAAATAAGTGAATTTATTCACATTAGTGAATACTATTGATTACTCTGACTTGTCATTCCTAGTCTAACACGTCAGGAGTATGTTATAGGTAAAGATGTCTCTAGAAGAAAGGTGGGGTGATGACTCTTAATGTTCAGGCTCTCTGCTGTATACTTGGCACACTGAAGGAAGCTAGAGGGCAGGCTGGATAGAAATTACTGATTAATGATTCATGATGTTATTTTGGTGAGCACAGAAAGATGTGTAAGGCAGCAGAAAAGACTGTCCCCCCTCGTCTCCTGACAGAAGAAGAATATCGGATACAAGGAGAAGTGGAGACGCGAAAGGCTTTAGAGGAGCTTCGAGAATATTGTAACAGTCCAGACTGCTCTGCTTGGAAGACTGTTTCTCGAATCCAGTCTCCAAAGAGGTAAACTCTTGGCCATCTATGCCAGGAATCTATCAGGGTGATTGTGACCTTGAGTTTTAACAGAGATCATACTTCTAGATAAACATTTTGTATTCATAGCTTTGTTTTCCTGCTCATCGAGGGGTAGTTGGGAAAAAGATAAATGTATCATCATATGTTAAGCAGTAGCCTGTTTTCTGCTTCCTTAAGGAACCGTCTACTCTAGATTTGATGGCAGCATTGAGAGGAGAAGACTCCAGTACCATATTAAGTTTCCCATGTGATAATTTTACATTGCTCTCTGAGTGGGGTTTTTTTTTGGTTTTTTTTTTTGTTTTTTTTTTTTGTTTTTTTTTGGTGGGGTGTTCCCTTTTTACTTGGGCACCACCATACTGGTGAGTATGTGAAGCTTCAATTTGGAATCCTGATGGCATAAAGTTTATAGGGCCATAAACGTGAATAAATGTGTAATGCCCCATAATCTTTTCTTATCAGGATTACAGATGACTAAAGGAACCTTAGCACTTTCCTAACTAAAAGGATAGGCTAGTGCTTATTAAGCAGGATAGGGTTTCATGGGATGTTGGCCTCTGACCCCAGCTTTCCTTTTCTCCTTATTTCTTGCTTTTAGTCTGCTTCCCTGCCGGAGTAAGGCAGGCTCTGTAAAATTTGAGCTGTGAGTATATGGAGGGTTTCACTTCATTCTTATTTTGAAAGAAAACCAGAAAGGACAGAAGGCAGGTTCTTAATGAGTATTATCTTCTCTCTTCCAGATTTGCTGACTTTGTGGAAGGTTCTTCTCACCTCACACCAAATGAGGTTTCTGTCCATGAGCAGGAATATGGATTAGGGAGCATCATTGCTGAGGATGAAATCTATGAGGAGACATCCACTGAGGAGGAGGACTCAGATTTTCCGTATCCTGCTATCACACAACAGATCACCTCCTGACTTAGGTGGTGGTTCGTTATTTTTATATGGACTGGCTTGGCACCTCAGTGGTCCATGTTGCATGTGTGCACCATTGCTTCTCAACTCCTTGAAACAGGGTGAGATACTGCAAAACTTCTCCCACTGAAATTAGAAGCCGAAGTAGGCCTCCCTCTGGAAATGGTCTTGGTGGTCTCGTGGGATCTCTGAGGGAGAATGGGTAAAGCAGTGAATGCTTTCAATGCTTCCCATGTTTATGTTTCAAAAACAAAAAACCAGATGACCACAGCTAGCACGGCATTCTAGCTCCTCTTAAAGATTGACTCGGTGGTGGTGTTTCTGCCACCACAGCTGGCACTCAAAAGTGAGAACTGTGTTACATGTGTGGTAACTCTTTGTGGACCCTAGGCTGCGTCTTCCAGAGAGAAACCCACAAATCTGAGCCTCCTTCACTTCTGCTTTTCTTTCAGTGACTTTAGAATAATCCTTGTTTTAGCTGTTTGAAGAGGAATATAGATTTTTATTTCTGTCTTGCTTTTGAAATGAATATATTTTTTTAAATGTCACAAATTCATGTTCCAGAACCAGGGAGTACTCTGGATCGACAAGCCCATGGGTTCCTACGTGTTTGTTAGTATGGGTCAGCCATTAAAGCCCCAGAATTGTTGTGTTGGGGTTTGAATTAGTTCTCACACATAGATATTCTAAGTCTTGCTTGTTTTTAGGAACATGCCTGTGAACCTTCTGTAGGGGAGGTCTGTCAGGCTTTTATTATATTCAAGTTTTAATTCTATCTTAAGAAGACATTTGCATTCTTTCCTTGCCATTCCTCCAGCCCCCTTTGCCCTTCCAGGAAGTGTCTATTTCCTCAGCTGTGAAGTATGTACAATTTAGAGTGCGTTTCATTTCTTACATTCTCTTCCCCTTCATTTGTAGCATTATTCCTGCAAGTTGGGAGAAGTGATCATTTTTGAGAGAATTTTTTATGCATCCTCCATTTTTCCTGTCAGTGGGACACATATCTTTGAGTTGCTGTGGAATCAAGAAACTCTCCTTTTTCTTTCTCTTCCTTTGTCTACCCATTCTACCTGTTCTTTTCAGCCTCTCCTTACCACATGTACTCCGCTCCCCTCACCATAATCTGGCTAATTTGCAAGCCCTGAGACTGTCTGTGAATTTTCCTTGATATAACATAAAACTGTAGCTATGTAGCGGTCACAAGTTGCACTGCCACGAAATAGTCCTCCAGGTCACCTTCATGCCTCCGGATGTTCATTCACCTCTCAGAGTCAGACACAGTTTTCCATGAACTTAGTATACTTACTTGCAGTTCCATTTCTGACCAGAGATTCATGCTGCCTTTTATTACAGTGGCATTAGTTTCAGATTCTTTTGCCATTGGAAATACCCTTATAAACCAGCAATGTCATTTATGAGGAAGCAAATTCCCAAGTCTCTGTCATTTGGTTGGTTCTGGCTCAGTGATCTTCACCCCCGTACCTTGGAAGAGGCCATAATGACTCTAGCCAGGAATATGGGCACTGACGGCCGGAGCACAGCCACAGGTGCCCTGGTCCACTGGGATCACTGAGAAGGCAGATGATTTAAAAAAAAAACTGTAATGACTCCTTCAGGCTAGCCATTTAGCAGATAATCTTGTCGGGCCCTGGGCTCAGTGCTGACTTCCAAAATGTCAGCTCTGAGACTCCCGTCCAGGTGGCCAGTTGATTATTACCACCAGTGTTTTCCACAGCTTTACACTGTCCTAAAGTGACAACTACCTCAATTGGCAGCAAATCCACATACAGTGGAAAGTGAAAGGGCAGGATTTGGGCAGATGCTGTGGGTTAAAGTTGCAGGGCAAAGGAGCTTTGTACTGAGAGACCTTAATGCCTTTGTAAATTATGTACATGGTAAAATCTTATCCCTCTGCAGAGAACTGTTAGGTCCTCTGGAATATACTATTTTTTGCTCTATATTTATAGAAATCAGGATCCAGCATATTTGAGCAGCTGTTAATTTGAAAAAATAATTCATCTGTACAAGTGGTCTCAGGATTACCTGGAGACTTTGGTGCCTTCCCCCAGAGAGCTTGTTCCGGAGGCGGTGGCTTGCCTCCAGGGTGACTTTCCCTGCCCTGCCTCTTATCTTTATCTCAGTGAGAAAGTGCTAAGAAACAGGGAAAGAGTCCTCTTTTTCTGTTTTGTTCAACTACTCATGAAATCTCGTTTCCATCTCCAGATCACTTTTTGTCACTGACTTTGAACTTGGGGGGAGTATAGTCAAACCCAATTTATTACTCTGTGTGTGTGTGTGTGTGTGTGTGTAGTCGGAGACCGGAGCTGCAGGCAGTGGAGGTGACCGTGGGTCCCGCAGCTTCACAGCTGCTCTGAGACTGGGAAGGACGATGGTGCCTTTGGTGTGCTGTGTGTCCTTGCTCTGCCTGCCCGTGTGGCCTTGCCCCAGATGCTTCAGTGCCTCCTTGTGCCCACAGATTGCTTGACTCCATAAGCTGCTCTTGTCCCCCTCTTGGCCACTTAGTCTGCTGGCTCTGTCACTACTTGAAGCCCCCACTTAATTTTCTCTGGCAGTTACAGCTCTTGCAATTCAGCATAGTCTCGTCTCTCAGACTGATCTCATCCAAAAGGATTGAGGGGATAACCATGGAGTGAACCGACACTGGAGCCACGTCTCCTGCCACGTCAGCGTCAGCGTCTTGCTTGCAAATACCAAGCTGTAAATTGGCCCCAGGGCTGAGGGTCTCTTCAGCATCGGAAATCTATCACCCCTAATTGATCTGACCAAGTTATGGAGAGCGCGACTGCCATTAATGGGAATATGAGAGCCAGCTGGCCTAAAACCTTTCCCTCTTCACTTTCCCACTCAGATTGCTTTCATGAGACCTGCAGAGCCAATCACCAAAAATAAGGACGAGTTTAGCAACTTGGATGTCTTCTAATAAGGAAGTCCTACCGGCACTTCATCCCACCAAAACTAGTTTATTTTCTCCCCCAGATTCATGACTTTTATGTCTGTTACAAAGGGAGTTTTGCTGATCACAGGCTTTGGGTTCCAGTGTTCTATTTTGTGCAGATACATCCCATCCGGGGCCTAGCCCTCTCTCCACCGACTGTGTTCCCTTCAGTCCAATTCCCAACTGGCATATACGTTAGAGATTTGATGAATGAAAGGACCCAAATAGGCCAGATAGTCCTCCCCGGCCCTGATAGCCATAAAAAGCTTGGAAATGGATTATGCAATTGCCCTCAATCTTTTTGTTCCAGAAAAAAAGATGGGCTCAGATGGATGCCTGCGTAAAAATGGTTCTTAGCTGTGTACTCATAACTTTTCTCTGAATTGAGTAGTGAAAGTTGAAGTAGGAGGAAAGGAAATTAAATGTCCTTCTAGTATTCCTTTGGACTCAGGTCTGACATATGAGATAATAACCTATATTGAAATGCCAAGAACTTTATCTCAACTGAGGAGAAGACAGTTTGACAGATTTATTATGCCTTCATGTTACATAGGCACTGAAACCAAGTAATAAACATATAAAATAGCCATTTGCACAAGGCAGATGCACCTAAAACCTCCTGTTTATGTTTTGATGTAGCAGAAATTGATGATTATGTTTAAGGAAACCTATGCAGTTATGGTGAGCCAGTGGTATCTCTTGGTAACGTAGCTTATGGCCCCAGTTGCTGTTGAGTTAGATTCTAGGTGGTTACTACCTTGAAAAGGGTGTTTGGTGCCTTATGTGATGGGAGCCAGAGCCTGCTAGGAATAGACAAAGCAGTTTCATGTCCACGTCAACACTCAGCTTTAGTGGGGGGTGGGAATGGCACACAGCCTCCCCCACATTTGGGACTTCGGGCTCCCATATTCCCTGCCTGCGTGTGTCATCTTCCTCTTCACACTCTTGACAGTAACTTGAAAATGGTGAAATCATCTTCTGTGAACTCTCCTACAGTATGGGCAACATTCGTGTCATGTTAGCATACTAGATAGCTCGTAGTGTGAGTGTTAGAACTGTTAGAGCCTGCCATGGTCTCTGTTTCCCATGTTTGCGGACTTGGTGGTAAAATAGCAGGGCTAAGGAATTCCTAGGTAAGTTTTAACCTGTGGGTAATGCCTTAGTGTTGTTTTAAAAGATTTGCCATTTATATTTAAAATAAATGTTCATGAATGTTTGAAAAGAACAAAACGATCAGGGATGGCTCTTTGCCATGGGTCTCATTTTCACTCTTTTCTGTAAGAAAAAATAACAATGTCTTATTATATATTTTTCATTTTTATTGTACAAGTTTGTAAGTAATGCCAATTTTAATAAAGTTTTATAGACTATGTAGTAGTCTCTCTTAATGAACGTGTACTTTTCTTACTTGGATCTCTTGAGGCAATTAGCTTCTAAGTTTCATCTTTCTGATGAGATGGTGTTGCAAGCCATCTGTTTTCCTTTTTTTCTTACCCACCACTGCCCACCCTGGGTCTGCCTTGGTCTGCTTCCATCCTTGGACTAGATGATTTCTCAGCATGCCCAATTTCAAGGGGGAATTATTCCTGCAGGAGTCATGGGGTGTGACCATGCAGTCTCACAGGGAAAAAACATTTATAGGCTATTCCTAGTTCAGAGAGCTACTCCAATTGTATTTTAGTTCTTCTTCTTCTTCTTCTTCTTCTTTTAAAGATTTATTTATTTTTATTTGAGAGCGAGAGAGAGAGAAAGCCTGAGCAGGGGAGAGGGGCAAAGGGAGAGGGAGCATCTCCAGCAGATTCCCTGCTGAGGGCAGAGCCCTACTTGGGGCTCGATGTCACAATCCTGAGATCATGACCTGAGCCGAAACCAAGAGTCGGACACTCTTGGTCAACTTGGTCAACTGACTGAACTTGGTTCAACTTGGTCAACTTGGTCAACTGACTGAACCACCCAGGCATACCTACTTCTTTCTTTTTAAAAAGTATCTTTTGTGAGGTGCCTGGGTGGCTCAAATGGTTAAGCGTCTGCCTTCAGCTCAGGTCATCATCTCCACGTCCTGGGATCGAGCCCCACTTAGGGCTCCTGACTCAGCAGGGAGCCTGCTTCTCCCTTTCCTGCCTCTCCCCCTGCTCATGCTCTATCTGTCTCAAAAGAATAAATAAAATCTTTTAAATAATAAAAAATATCCCTTGTTTCTCTGCTGGGATGAGAGATGGACCCGTGGATCCAGCTGTGGGATGTCTGCCAAGAGCTTTTTGTAGGGAGAGAGGGGGCAGGGCTGCAGTGAGTATTAGGGGCCATGGAATAAAAACTTCAATTATGTGTAGGCCCGGCTTCTGTGGGAGGAGTCTGGTACCTTCCATTTTCTTTTATGTTTTAGCTATTTCCTTTGCTCTGGGGATCCTTTGGAGCATTTGCATTAATTCTCTGCCTGTGTCCTCTCTTCCCAGTTATTTAGGCTACATGGAAATCTATTGTCCGTTTTTCAAAGACCATAAAATTGGAAGAGCCAGGGTGGAGACCATATGTAAATTTATGTAGATGAACACACACTAATGGCATCTTCTCTCCCTTCTATAACTATACTAGGTAAACAAGAGATGGAGGTGATTATTAATCATTGAATTAATAAAAAAAGCATTATTGCTAGGTCTGCAACACCATAGGGTTTTAGTAAGGACAAAAAAAGATAAAGTATGTAAAGAAGTTCTTCTCAAACTTGAACATGCATAGTATCATCTGGGAAGTTTGTTAAAATGCAGACTTCTAGGGGCACCTGGATGGCTCAGATGGTTAAGCATCTGCCTTCGGCTCAGGTCGTGATCTCCAGCCCTGGATCGAGCCCCATATCCGGCTTCCTGCTCGCTGGGGAGTCTGCTTCTCCCTCTTGTCTGCCTCTCCTCCTGCTTGTGCTCTATCTCTCAAATAGATAAATAAAATCTTTAAAAAAATTGCAGACTTCGGATACAATAAGTCTGGGTTGAGGCCCAAGATTCTGCATTTCTAATAAGCTCCCAGGTGATTCAGATGTGGGGTGGACCTCACTTTGAATAGCGAGGGTGTAAAACACTTAGCTTGTTGCCTTGCACACAGTAAGTATTTAGTCAATGTTACGACCCCAAATTATTTGTGAGAGTCAAGAAGACCCTCTACCACCAAACGTCTTCACTATATCTGAAAACTTCTGTGTTTTTATTGCGTAGCATCTTTTAAAAATGAATATCCTTGGGAGGACTTCCGCGTATGAATTAATCAGATTACTGCCTTCCCAGCCCTGCCAGTAATCAGTGCTAAAGGATCTAGAGTTGTTTCTTTTTTTTTTATCTTTTTGCCAGCTCCATTGAAATATCATTTATGTATAATAAAATTCGGTTTAGGTTTTGCTGACTTTTGACAAAAGGAGTTAACTGACAGTTGTGTAACCACGACTGTAGTCATGATATAGAGCTTTTCCATCGCCCCCAGAGTTCCCTCATGCCCCTTATACAGACTAGAAATGTTAATGGAGAGAAGAGGAAGGGGGTTTCAGAATCGCGGTGGAGGAAAACCATCAGCTCCAGTTACTTGAATTTTGCCTGGGGATCAGATCCCAGTCCTGCATCCCCCAGGCCGCCTCCTCTCCATCACCCCAGGAATGCTTTGACAGATTTTGAAATCCCCACGGACTTAAGTGTATTCATTCCTCATCAATTTAGAGTGACCCATTCATCCCAGTGTGGCCAGAACCTTCCTAGTTTTAGTTTTCAAGTTCCCATGTTTAAAGGACTCGCCGTAGGTCCCAGACAAACTAGGATGGTTGGTCACCCCAGCTGTGATGTTGATGCTGTTGTGTGATGCCTTCTGTCATGGAGCACATAGGAGGCACTCAGAAAACGGGTCAGTGGGTGGACACACAGATAAACCCCTCACTGTGGACAGCTGCAGATTCCTGGCCTGGAGAACAGAGACCTGGATTCCAGACCGAGGTTGCCGGGATCACACTGTGGGCAAGTGGCTTCTCACCCTAGCTCTGTTTCCTCCACAGAAAAGAGGGAGTCTCTGGTCCACAAACACCTGGGATAGTGTGCTGATGGCACTTCCGCTCGGCTTCCTCGCTCTCTCCCTTGCCTTTTTCTCCTTTCGCGTATATCTAGTAGATCAATAAATCATGTACGGGGAGGCTGATAATGGAACTGCTGATGGGCCTGGCGTATGCAGAATGCTTCTGTGACAGCAGTAGAGTTTGGACCTTGAACCAAGCAGCTGTGCCTGGGAGTTGGAGGATCAAGTCTCTCTCCAGCTAAGTGTGTGTAATGACCCATTTGCTCTTTGTGCATGCCTGGGAGAGAGGATGGTGGGCAGACGGAGCCTGTTGTTGAGGAATTTTCCTGGGTGGCTGAGAAGTTACCCAGGAAAATTGTGTAAGCCTCTTACCTATTGGAGGCAGCTGTTTCCAGCTGGGCTAGTGCTGGGAAGCAGCGTCTCAGGGTCTCATTCAGGTTCCAGAAGGTTAAAAATCAGAAATACCAAAACTTGGGCTGAACCCTATGGGTGACTTAGGGTCAGGGAGCTGTATTCTATTCCTGGTTCTGCCACGTATTATCTGTAGGACCTCGTATTCGCCTCTAATTTTCATTTTCAATGGAGTGAGTAGCTGTGCTGCCTAACTGACTGGGTGATGTGATTCCTGGAGATGACTGGTACATGTGGGAGTCCATGAAACTGACATGTACACAATTGCCAGGTGGTATCACTACCTGTAGCCTTTGGGTCTGTTTGTGGGGGGCTGACTCGGGGGGAGGGAATTTGGGGATTTTGTCTGCTTAGTTCCCCAAGTAATGTCCTTAATACCCTCTGACTCCCAATAAGATAGGTAGGTTTGAGAGAAGTACTGTTTCTTTGCTAGGGAAGACACCCCAGCCTGCCTTCCTCTTTGACAAAATTCCTGACTTTTTGGGAAGTTTTCCTTGGCTATAAATTCCACTCCTGCTCTTATTTCCAAATTTGGGGTGGAGGGTGGGGCAAGAACTCTACCTGAGCCCTTCAGCTAAGCCCAGCCAGATATCCTTTCCTACCTACAGTGTGTGAGTGTGTGAGGGGGACTTTCTCGTGTGACTGAGCATCTCCCTCTGGGGCTCCAGGCCTGGGAAGAGTTAATCGAGCCACACCCTCAGCAGGAACGGCCTCGGACTTTGTGCTGAGCAGCCGTCTCTGGCCTCTCCTGGCTTGACTGGCATAGGGAGACTTGGCGAGAGGAGGCAGCACTGTAGAAGGTCAGAAGAGTGGACACTGGCAAGAGGAGGGCAACCTCTTTCCTGGCCTCTCCGACACCATGGACAGCTCCCGTTAACGAACGCACCTCTCTACCCTCGGGGCCTTGGGACTCCTATGCCCCCTTCCTGTCCAATTGGGATTTCATTCACCATTCTCCAAGAGACACTGAAGTTATACCCTATTTCCAGTGTTGGGTGAGTCTTGCTTTGGCCTGTCACTGCTCTGCCCATCTAAGGGTGCCCTATCTGGGGACAGCTTCCTTTTTCCCCTCCCCACCCCGAACCATCACATTCCCACTCCCCTCCAATCCAAATCCAAAGAAGATGCCTTCCTCCAGCCCCACTTCTCCTGCTCACCCCTGCCTGCCAAGTTAGTTAAAAACTTTTATTTCTTTAATGTGGAAAATGTGGGATAATAATAGTACCTACTTCATGGGGATATTGTTTGTAAGCATCAAATGAATTCGTGTATGTAGGGTTTGGAGCCCTGCCTGGCTTGCGGTATCTGATTGTTAGAGATTGCTTTTGTCATGATTACTGCTCTCTTGCAGTTGTGTCCTTCTAGGAAGTGACAAGCGCTCTCATTTTCTGAAACTTGGGGAAAGCAGAGCAAAGGCTGAAGGCAGCCTGCGTTCCCCTCCCGCCCCACCTTCCATCTCTGCCTCCCTTCCCTCCCCCGCCCAGGTTCAGTATTGCTGGAGACTAGAAGGATGTGGCTTTTTTATTCCTGTGAGGGAGTAGCCCTGACCATTGTACTAATGATTCTGTCCTGCACCAGGCCACCCCACCTACTTGGCCCCGCAGGAAAGACCCAGGAGGGTTGGGCTTTCTCCCGAGGTTGCCCCTGCCATGTGCTCATTGTGTGCGGAGCCCCACAATAACTCTGCTCCTCCTTGCCCACTCCTACCTGAGCTAAAAAGCTGGGAGTGTCCCTCTGGGGCAAAGTCCATGCCGGAAGGTTACAGCAATGGGTGTAAAAGCCAGAGATGGAAACATAGGGATAGCCATGTAGGCACATGGAGGGATCATGACAGCTAATTGATGTGGGAGAAACCAACCTCACTTTTATTTAGGGTATTCTAATCTTTGCTGGAGGAACTTCTCTAA